TGAAACAGATCAAGGAAAATCTGGGGCTCGGAGCGGCGATGAATGCCAACCGGCTAAATCAGCTGCAACAGGCTACGAGTTTCAGCTCATTCCACGAAGCAGAAGCCCCTGGCCCTTCACACTCCCCTGCCTAATTCACCCACTGCGACAATGCATCCGATTGAATGGCAGCCAAGCTATACTAATGAACACATTGGCTTTCTGTTGACACAAACTCCATTATGAGTCAGCCCTTATTAGCGGCCCTTTCACACCCGGGCGCTGACATAAGAATGCCAGCGCGGGGCGGGTGCACCTGTCGGAGTGCGTAATGGAGCGGGCCCCGGAGGCGGCCGGCGCTCTGACAGCGCCGTGACTCATGTGGCAAAACAAACCCGCCGAGTGTGATCATTCGCTCCCTCGCATGTGTCTAAACAAAAGCAGAGGCAAGAGCGAGGGGGAAATCGGGCGTCCCGCACAGACGGGGGAACGGGGGCGGGGGGATGGAGCGAGCGAGGATAACGAGCCGCTCGTCTCTTACCGGGAAACCACTGCTCTATCAGCGAGTTGACGTGATCGGTGATGAAGGCCATGGCGGAGAAGTCCCGCGTCTCCGACTGGCAGACGATCTTGATGCCGCCGCTCTTCTTTTTCTTCCAGTTGAGGTCGGAGGACTCCACGCTGCGGGACACAGACCGAGAGTGCAGGGGGTCGCAGGGTGGCAGTGATCCCCTCCCCCCCCAAACCCCCCACCCTCCAGCGTTCCGTTCACAGGCCGCTGGAGCTCACACACATTACCCCCTGCTACGACACTTGCTGCTCTACAAATTGCCCAGATATTAAATTAAATCATCTGGAATTTTGCTTGTGAATTGCCGGAGTGCACACAACAGTTCCTGTAGCTCAATTCTTCTCAGCTTTGCAGGCCTAGCCTGTCTCCTTCAAACGTTCTATTCTCATTCATTAGATGTTTCTGTCCACATGATGATATGCTGGTAAACGACATAATGGTCTGTTTGATGAAACAGGCTTCTATTTATTCAGGCTATTAAGGGCTTAATTACATTCAATACTGTGCCACATTAGGTGCTGTGGTCTGGCATGCTGCCCCTGAAATGAAGTCAGCAACATGGCTCTAATTTCTCTCTCTGAGCTTGGAAGGCCTTTTGTGCACGACCCGAAGGTCCGCAGCATTAAATTACTTGCATGTGTTACATCATAATGAGCTCCTTCCTTTTCACCACTGTTCCTGGAGAACCAGGAAGTCCCTGTCTGGCCATCTGTTGACTTACCAACCACATGGATCAAGAAATTATTCTTTCATCAATGCGCTCAGAAAGGGAAGCCTGACTGTTTGGCAAATATGTGAATCCGGGGGCAGTGTAGCATAGTGGGTAAGGAGCAGGGCTTATAACCAGAAGGTTACTGGTTCAGCTCCCTGCTGGGACTCTGCCATTGTTCCCTTGGGCAAGGTACTTAACCCACAACTGCCTCCAGCTGTATAAATGGATAACATGACAAAAAATGGTAACCTCTGTACGTTGCTCTGTACGTTGGATAAGAGCGTCTGCCAAATGCCAATAATGTAATGTAATGTTCATATTTGAGTCACTACCAACACATTACACAAGCTCATGACAGCATAATGTGCGGCCAGGTTTTACCTCAGAAACCCCCCGTCAAATGTGACCAGCAGCCCCTCCTTCCAGTAGATGGTCTGGCTGCGTCGGACCCGGAACGTGCTGCAGCGGTTCCTCTGCTGGTTCCCGGCGAAGCTGTAAATGACTGTGTTCCGGTTCCTCAGGCTCCTTGGGGTCTTCTTGCTCTCGAATGTCTGGAATTCAGAGAGAACAGCAAACCCTGACCGAATCGGCATTATTTCTGCATCTGAAAGAAGAGGACAGAGGGCCAAACCCCGCCAGGGGGGGGGATGAGCAGATTTCATCCTCTTCCCTGACAGCGTGGTACCTGGAGATCCATCTCTGTCAGGCTTATCAGCATCCTGGCGATGAAGCGCTCCCAGAATCCCGCGGGGACGAAGCTCATCTTGAAGAGCCGCTGGATGGTGTTCATGGTCTGCTGCCGGAAGCCGTAGATGTCCATGGCAGGCTTAGGGGGCAGCAGGTGAGGCAGCAGGTAGCTGGAGACACACAGAGGAGGGTTTAAGCAGCTGAGATTACATCACGAACTGAACGCATGTGAGAGCTTGGCTTATTGTTTACGTGTCACAATACAATACAACAAATGTTAGGCCATCAAGTTGGGGTTAATACTGCGGCCCTATTAAGGAACATACTACAGCTACATACATTGTGCACAGACTGTTGTTTTAGGCTTGTTTTAACTCAGAATGACTGTACAAGGAAAATGTTGGTGTGCTGGTGTTTGGCAATCCCTCATGGAGCCTTTGAATGATCCACTGAATAGCTGCATTATATTCAAGTTCAAATGCAATGAAAAGTGTCATTTAAAGAATATTCTACCTCAATTACAACGCTGCATGAAAGATGGGATTTTTACATCTCACCATGAATGGAAACTACCTTTTAAAAAAGAGACCCTTTTACAATAATCCTCTGATTTTTGGTCTCACATGGGTAGAATAGTGAGGAGGGGTAAAAGTCAATGCCACAATAGACTCTCCGTGGGTGTAAATCCATGGGATATACATTAATGTGAAGCCTGGTCCAGGTTTCTGAGAGTCAAACTGAAATTGAGACTCAAATGGTTTAAAAGAATTTAAAATTTGTTTTAGCTCATACCAGTCATCACAAATGAAATGTCTTTCACTCAAGACTGAAAATGTATGCAAGTAACTGCATCACCAGCATGTGATGCATATTTTGCCAGACTGGCATCTAATATGGGCTTACACTGGGGAACATGGAGCTAAAAAGACTTGTAAGACCATGAGTTATGCAAGACACTGATACAGTCTACAACTGTAAATCAACCAGGTTTAGTAAAACAAGAATGGCAAAGCAATATGAGAAATTTAACAACTGCCAGTCTTGTGAAAATGGTTGAATAAAACAGTTCTCATGTACCTCATCTCAAAACTTTAGAAAAATGGCTGACATCAGCACTAAACACCAGGATTGCAATTGAAACACTTTTTATGTATACTGCATATTTGCAATGACTTTTCAAAATCTTTTGCAGCTGTTTGCTTGGACTTTAATCTAAATCATTACTGTTCTATAAGCCTTTGACAGATGTTCACAGTAAATAGATACTACAGTATAGACAAAGATTGTTTACCTGACTTTTATTTATTTAACTTAATATTTCCTTGCAGTTTTAAGGTCACTGCAACATCATCTTGACTCTTTCATATGTAATGACCGGTTTATATTGTTGGGGCGACAGTGTAGCATAGCGGTAAGGAGCAGGGCCTGTAACCAAAAGGTTGCTGGTTTGATTCCCTGTTGGGGCACAGCTGCTGTACCCTTGAGCAACGGTACTTAATCCAGAACTGCCTTAGTAAATATGCAGCTGTATAAATGGACAACATGTAAAAAACTGAAACCTATGTAAGTCGCTCTGGATAAGAGCATCTGCTAAATGATAATAATGTAATGTTTATATGCAATTCCTTTGTAGTGTGTGTGCATTTTGGACAATGTGGTCATGACTGCACAGCTTGGATCTGTTGAAAGGCTCTGACACCACATAAAAAGACAGCTACTAGAGGTCAGCATTATCAGAGGCCAGAATGGGAGCCAAGCCTCATCAGAGGTCAGAATGGGGAGTCCCAGCCTCACCTGTTGCTGGCCACGGGGAGGGCGATCTCGAACTTGGCCAGGAACTGGAAGTACTGCTCCTCGGTCTGCTCGGTGAAGCCGGTGCCCACCAGCAGCATGCGCAGGTCCTCGGCCCGGATGACCCCGTTGCGGGCCACCGAGCGCGAGCTCTTGATGTGGATGATGCGCTCCAGGCACTCGGACAGCCACACCGCGTCCAGGAAGTAGAGCTTGCACAGCCCGTGGCTGGTGTCCGGGAAGTGGAGGAGGGTGCCCGTCTCGATCAGGAAGCTGATGGCTGGCAAGAAGCGATCGCACTTGTTAGATCGTCTCAGCTCCTTACTAATCAAAAGGAGACTGATCACTGTCAACTGGGCAAACTTCACTGATACGTATAGATGATATACAGTGGAATGAATGAATGAGTAAATGCACATTTGCATACATACAAACATATATACTACAGCATACACGAATGTTTAGGATAGGATTTAAGAGCACCTCAAGCTGTTATATGATCAATAATTTAGACTACAATACAACTACATTTGTTAAATTCTCTGGAAAAAGTCAGTGTTTGAATTGAATGCACCAAGTACACACTAAGACCCTGACAAGGCACAGAATTTTTGTCCCTGCTACAACTAACTTTCCCTGGGTTTATATTTTCCCCACAAAACACCCCTTGGTGTTTTTTTTAATCTAAGACACAGTAGGAAGGCTCCATTTGGTTTGAGTTATGATGTGGTGAGATACCGGTCTGCAGGTCCTCGTAGTCTTTGATGTCGCTGGCCGGGATCTTCTCGATGACCTGGTCCAGCTCGAGGTCGGTCAGGTACTGGACCTCATCGGCCGCCCCGCGCCTCTGCCGCTCCGCCAGCACAGCGTCCTGGAGGACCAGGTAGCTTTTCGGGATCTGCGCATTGCACACACACAGGTTTAAGGGATGCACCCAAGCAAGAGGGATATTAACACATCTTATCTGCTGTGTGGACTAAGGTGACACCTACCAGCCTCCCCACCATTTTCTGGCAGCTGGTGGAGCTGGAGACATCCTTCATGGCGCAGGACACCTGGTAGATAAGCCTCTTCAGCCCGTCCAGGCCCTCTAGAGTCTTACAGGACACTTCACTGGGACAGATAAGACAAGGTAAAGAAAGGATTTGGTACATTACCCTAAGAACATTAATTGTGTGTAAATTAAGTACTACTGTACACACATTATTATAATAAAAATAAAATTAATTAATAGAAAAATAGAAAACTACATTACAGGGTGGCAGGGTAGCAGAGTGGTAAGGAACAGGATTTGTAATCGAAAGGTTGCGGTTCAATTCCTCACTAGGGCACTGCTGTTGTACCCTTGAGCAATACACTCTAGATAAGAGCGTCTGCTAAATGTCAATAAAGTCATGTAATGTACATACATAAAACCCCAAAATAAACAACCAAATGCATTGCTGGTTGAATGCTATACAATACTGTAATAACATTAACACTAGCAGAGGCAGCAGGGACACCCGTGGCTTGTCGCTGCAGAAACAGGTGAGCTGTGAGCTGTAGAAGGTGAAAAAAAGATCAGGGTTCTCACTGCAGGTGCTTCCAGGTGATGTCCGGGTATCCGCTCGCCCTGGCACCGGAGGGGGACCGGCAGAGCGCCAGGATGTAGGCACGCAGGGTGGCGATCCTCTCCGTGCGGAACTTGGTGTCGATGAGGTCCAGGTGGGTGCCGACCACCACCACGGCGGAGTTAGGGGCGCGGGCCTGGAGGGGCAGAGAGCGCAGTGAGCCGACAAACTCACTCAAGCACACATACAACCTCCGCTTTTGGACTGCGAGGCTGAGTCCGGGAAACATATCACTCTTACTCACTTCCTGTGGAGTGGGTAACCAGCCCACAGTACAGAACAAACAAACAAAAGATAAGGACCACTGCAGCAGCTCAGAGACGCTCCAATCACAAGTCTGACACACTCCCAGATTCCTGGAATTATCTGCTTTTTACTGTTACCCATTATCCACATGACATAGGAACTGCTAGCAAATCTACTCTATTACTATTTGTTGGGAATCAATGTGGCGTAGGCATAAAGAGTACTGATCATAACCTAAAGGCTGCCTGTTCCACTTCATGGTAGGCCACTGCTGCTGTTCCCTTGGGCAAAGTACTTAATAATATCACCTCAGCAAATTTCCAGCTGCATAAATTGGCATGTGAAAAGTGTAAGCTACGTAAGTCGCTCTGGATATGAGGATCTGCTAAGTGTTACTAACAACAGGACGGCTTTCCTGATCGGTCTTCCTCTGCAGTCTAACAGGATCAAATAAGCGACTGCATGCATCAGCAGTATAGTTCACATGGTTATGATGCCAAGCCAACACGCATCAGCACCAGGGGAGCTTAATGAAACGAGAAATTATGACAAGTGGAACCTGCTGCCGTGTTCCAGGGCTGCATACGGACGTGTGAAGTGACTTTTCACATTATGGCAACTGAGTGGAAGCACAAACACAAAGAAAATGGTGCTTTAACATGCGGGTGTGGCCGTCTGCCCCCCCATAGCACAACGAGCAACTATGCCCCGAGGTGACTGAGGGCGTCGCAGACGGAGCTCGGGAATCCACGTCGCAAGCGGGCAGACGGATGATGAAGAGCAGAACGTTAATAAATTCTACAAAAAAAAAAAAGAGAAAGAAAAACAGGACTGAAGAGAGAGTAGCAGCGGGTTCCCTTCCCTTACCTCAATGTTTAATAACCAGGACTGCAGGTTGGCCACGGCCTCCTCTCCCAGGGCCAGGTTCCATATGACTACATACACCGCCTTGTCCGTGAAGAAACACTGGTTGACTGTGGACATGCTGGCGGGCCCGCCGATGTCCCACACATTGAACTCCACTGAATCCACCTATTCACGCGAGATAAGAACAAACCGCTGTGCAGTCCGCAGAGAAGGCCCCCACTGTCCCCGTCCCTCAAGCATCGCCACCGGCTAATTATAAACTGGTACCTGCATTCATCTGTTTATTTAGAGCCACCCCGTGTTATTTCAACAGCTTGAACAGTCAAACCCTCTACTACCTCAGGAGAACTTTAGTACCAACACACTTAACCGCTACACAGTTGAGAAGAATAATAAAATGCGGATAATATCACATGTGGACTGCTCTGGGGGTCAGAATGTTCTGAGCAACATGTTATTGAATCGAAGTTCCTTGGTGCTGTACTGCAAAGACGTTTCAATCACATGCAAATGAAATCTGTATTACTACAGCGTTAAAGCATCCTAAATGTCATAAATCACAGGGCAGCATGGCCCCGCTAAGCTGCCTCTGCAGGGCTAAGCCGTCCCCTGGGGCCTTCATCAGAGCACAGCTCCCACCCGCTCTCCTGTCTCTGCAGCCGGACAGGAAGCTGACTCAGGCCTTGCTGGGAAATGAAATCAGACCACTTCAGCAGGGTCTGGAGTCCCAGACAAAAAAAAAAAAAAAAATTCTGGGACTTCTCGCTGGGAATCTGACTGTCAAAAGGCCATTAATACTCCCCTTTTGTGGTAAAGCCAAACGCACTGGCAACCAAATAAGGTAAATGTGCTGTTTTTTTTTTTAAATTTATGTCTGATTTTTATAATCCTCCCAAAACCTCAACCTCAGCCTCAACAGCTAACAGTCTGGAAGCCCCACCTTCATGAACATCCTGGTTTCAGCCTTGGATTCTTATGAGGGCTATGTTTCCTCGTGATAGAATCTATGCCTGTATGGAAGCCTAGAGCTTGCGAGGACTACATGTACCTCAGCTAACACCCTGCCCGTCTGTATCTGAGGCTCTGGAATTATGTAGGTTATGCAGGTTTAGTAAATAGAGCTGCAAGTGCCTCACATTAGATTTGACACCGCTGGGCCGCTCCAGCGTCCAGGCCGAGGTCCGGATGCTGCACTCCGCCGGGAGGAACTGCCCCGCCTTGCCCGTCTGCAGGGCCTCCAGAAGGGTGGTCTTGCCCTGCCGGGGCGGTCCCACCACAATCATCTTCAGCAGCTTGCAGGGCTCCGCCTTCCGCAGGTGGGCCCTCAGGAACCCCAGTACGGCTGCAGGCCCTGCAGAAAGGGAAGGGGGAGGAGTCAGGCAAACAGCTGCAGTGTGGAGGCGTGGCCTCTCAGGTCCAGCTCACTCTTTGAGCTACAGCATTGAAACATATCCACTGCTGTTTTGGAAGTATGTCTTAACATGACTAGACCACTATATTGTGGAAGTGTCTAACTGCCTTCCAGGTTTAATTTAGCTTTGTTCGCTCTGTTCCCTTGCAATTTTCCATAAGAAAAAACAAACAAAGCCAAAGGTGTTGGCATCCTTGGAACTGTGATGCAAGTTGGCTCAAAGTCTGCCATTCTTTTTAGAGTGTAACTCTCCGGGGCCCCATTTTGTGGTCATGTTCATCGACAGCTACTTGGCCCTCCATTCACATTTGTGTTGTCACTGCACAATACCGGGGAGAAAAATGTCAGCGCATGCAGCCATTGTCTGTGACAACAAAACAGGAACAGGAAGCGATAAGGATGTCGATTTCTATACAATCCCAAAAGTCAGGGAATTACAGTGTCGGTGGTATGATGCTATCACTAGCAGAGCGGGGAATTCAGTTCAAGACAGGCACCTACATTCGGAGCATGTTAAACGGCTTTGAGACTCCAATGCAGGATGCTGAGGAATTGTATATAATTAGAAGTCATGACACAGGCGACTTATCTTGTTTCTGATATATGGGACAGATCTTTTTTCTATCTGCAAAACATAATATCACTTTAATTTTCAGAAGTCAGAGTGAACTGACTTTTTCCATAAATAATGGAACACCTACAATCAATTCCGATCTTTCCTTGCACGCATTTTAAGAAAGCTGAAATTTAATGGCACAGACACTTCTGAGGAATTCATTCTGAAAGCCAGGCTGAACTGAAAAGTCAGAGTGAAAAGTCACTTTGCGGGGCTGTGTTCTTGTGGTGATGGCAGTACCTTCTTTCTTGACCTCGGGCGGGATGTTGGTGATGTTCAGGTCTTCGATGTCGAGCTGCCAGAGATTAGACAGCTGTCCAAGCTCAGACGGAAGCTCTCGGATCCCTGGATTACTGGTGCAGAGCACGACAAGGACCTTATCAGTCAGGAGCATCGTTCCCAAGCTAGTGTTATGCATAGTGGCGCTCATCTTGGAATATCACAGCAGGTGTTAACATTGTCATAACAAACTTACAATGGACTATAATTGGGGTGTTTGTGTAGGGGCGTGTCGCCGCTCACAAAAGCTGTCCTTCATTTTCAAAGAAAGCAAAGGCATTTATTACGCTGCTGTAGCACCAACTGAAAGGCTAAACCCACATCTCCCACAGGGGCTCCTCCCACAGGGACTTCCCGGGCTGAGCAGGACTTACTTGGAAAGGTAGAGCTCAGACAGGTTCCTCAGACCGCACACTGACTGAGGCACCGACTCCAGCTGGTTGTCATTCAGGAAAAGCACCTCCAGACAATCTCGTAGGATTATGGGGAATTCGATGGCGGACGCTGCCATGGGGAGGTCACACACAAAGAAACAGAATGAGAAGGACCCCGGCTTCATATGGAGGTGTAAAGAAATGACTGAAGACCAGAGTACAGTGTCCTAAATAGTCTTCATAGTGCCAAAATGCTTCACTAATCAGCTTAGAGCAGTCGAAATGTTGTTTGTATCTCATTATTTTAATGTGATCGCCTTGTGTGGTTTGTTCCCTATTAATCATTGTACCACAGCTCTTGACTACCCATTAATGTTCTTCCTGTTGTAATTCTGCATTCCTTCTCAGCAATGTGCTCAGTCAGATTAAAGTAGTTATATACAAAGACAAATATGTGATACACAGCTGGATATTTGCATAACATATTAATTTTGCATAACAGGGCCACCCTACACAGTGCCACCCCATTGTTTACCTGGGTCTGGATCTCTCCTGTGCCAGGTGGTAAAGAATGCCAGCTTCCTGGTTTTGGTGCCATCGACATTCCTGAAAGAAGTTGGATTCATCCTTAATCCCTATGGACTAATCATAACTCTTAAATACACCTGCATTAAACTACATGAAGAAAAAAATTGAAAAACTGAGAACTGTAATCCATTATGATATCACAATGAATGGGCTTGTTTGCAAGATGCTAACAAGAGGATTCACATGACTGATAGATGAGCTCACACATACAGTCAACACCTACTGCAACAGTAATGTTTAGCGGGAGCATTCATATAGTGGCAATAATCTAGACTGCTCACAGTTATGCTGTCATTATGGGAGAGTGAGGCTTCACTAATCCAATGAAGGATGGAGCTAA